CTATCGTTTATTGATGTTTCTCACGTCAGTCTATCGTTTATTGATGTTTCTCACGTCAGAGTCTGATGTCATTTGTGAATGTTTGTCAAGTCAAAGTCTGATGTCATTTGTGAATGTTTGTCACGTCAAAGTCTGTCATTTGTTCACGTTTGTCACGTCAAAGTCTGATGTCGTTTGTTGACTTTTGTCACGTCAAAGTCTGATGTCGTTTGTTGACTTTTGTCACGTCAAAGTCTGATGTCGTTTGTTGACTTTTGTCACGTCAAAGTCTGATGTCATTTGTTCACGTTTGTCAGGGGTCAACAAATGATAGACTGACGTGAGAAAGATCAGCAAATGATATCAGACTTTGATGTGAGAAACGTCACCAAACGACATCAGGCTTTGACATGACAAACGTCAGCAAATGACATCAGACTTTGACGTGACAAACGTCAGCAAATGACATCAGACTTTGACGTGACAAACGTCAGCAAATGACATCAGACTTTGACGTGACAAACGTCAGCAAACGACATGAGACTTTTACGTCACAACCGTCAGCAAACGACATCAGACTTTGACATCACAACCGTCAGCAAACGACATCATACTTTGACGTGGCAAACGTGAACGAATGACATCAGATTTGTGACAAACATTCACAAATGACATCAGACTTTGACATGACAAACAGTCAAAGTCTGATGTCATTTGTGAATGTTTGTCACGTCAAAGTCTGATGTCATTTGTTCACGTTTGTCATGTGAAAGTCTGATGTCGTTTGCTAACGGTTGTGACGGGAAATTCTGATGTCGTTTGCTGACGTTTGTCACGTCACAGTCTAATGTCATTCATCGATGTCTGTCACGTCAAAGTATGATGTTATTTGCTGACGTTTGTCACGTGAAAGTATGACGTCATTTGCTGACGTTTGTCACGTTAAAGTATGATGTCATTTGCTGACTTTGTCATCAGACTGACATGACAACTATCAACAAATGACATCAGACTTTCACATAATTTACATAATTTGTTGATGTTTATGTCAAATTCTGATATCATTTAATGTTTTTGTTGTGTCAAAGTCTGATGTCATTTGGGAATGTTTGTCACATCAAAGTCTGATATCGTTTATTGATGTTTCGCACATTAAAGTCTGATATCATTTGCTGATCTTTCTCACGTCAGTCTATCATTTGTTGATGTTTGTCATGTCAAAGTCTGATGTCATTTGTGAATGTTTGTCATGTCAAAGTCTGATGTCATTTGTGAATGTTTGTCATGTGAAAGACTGATGTCATTTATGAAATTTTTTCAAGTCAAAGTCTGATGTCATTTGTGAATGTTTGTCGTGTCAAAGTCTGATGTCATTTGTGAATGTTTGTCAAGTCAAAGTCTGATGTCATTTGTGAATGTTTGTCAAGTCAAACATTTGTCAAAAGTATACGTTTTTCAGGTCAAAGTCTGATGTCATTTGTTCACGTTTGTCGTGTCAAAGTCTGATGTTATTTGTTCACGTTTGTCGTGTCAAAGTCTGATGTCATTTGTTCACGTTTGTCGTGTCAAAGTCTGATGTCTTTTGTTCACGTTTGTCGTGTCAAAGTCTGATGTCATTTGTTCACGTTTGTCGTGTCAAAGTCTGATTTCATTTGTGAATATTTGTCGTGTCAAAGTCTGATGTCATTTGTGAATGTTTGTCACGTCAAAGTGTGATATAGTTTGTTGATGTTTGTCACGTCAAAGTGTGATATAGTTTGTTGATGTTTTTCACGTCAAAGTGTGATATAGTTTGTTGATGTTTGTCACGTCAAAGTCTGATATAGTTTGTTGATGTTTGTGACGTCGAAGTCTGATATCGTTTGTTGATGTTTTTCACGTCAAAGTCTGATATCGTTTGTTGATGTTTCTCACATCAAAGTCTGATATCATTTGCTGATGTTTCTCACGTCAAAGTCTGATATCGTTTGTTGATGTTTGTAACATCAAATCTGATATCATTTGCTGATCTTTTTCACATCAGTCTATCATTTGTGAATGTTTGTCAAGTCAAAGTCTGATATCATTTGCTGATCTTTCTCACGTTAATCTATCATTTGTTGATGTTTATGTTGTGTTAAAGACTGATAATATTTGTTGATGTTTATGTTGTGTTTAAAGCCTGATAATATTTGTTGATGTTTATGTCGTGTTTAAAGCCTGATAATATTTGTTGATGTTTGTTTTGTCAAAGTATGATATCATTTGTTGATGTTTTTGTTGTCATATTCTGATATCTTTTGTTAATGTTTATGTAATGTCAAAGCCTGATATCAATTGTAGATGTTTGTCATGTCAAAGCCTGATATCAGTTGTTGATGTTTGTCATTTCAGTGTCTGATATCATTTGGTGATGTTTGTGTTAAAAGCATATCATTTAATGTTTTTTAGTGTCAAAGCCTTATATCATTTGTCATGTCAAAGCCTGATATCATTTGTTAACTGTATTGCACTTTTGACAATGACACGTTCACAATTTATTAATATAAATGTCAGTATTTTATTTGAACTATAAGATGAGTCTCTGCTTTTATAGGTGTTAAAACTTTCTCATTTCCAAACAGTATAGTGTATCTTTATTTCTTCTACTGTCATCAAAACTAAAGTATAAACATATGTTTTTCTGTACATATTTCATGTGTGTTTTTGTTTTTCAGATCAAGAAGGAATTTCTTTTTTCTTTATCAGTACTGACTATGTGTTTGATGGTAGTAATCCTCCTTACAAGGAGACAGACAAGACTAACCCACTTAATAAGTATGGAAAGACAAAAGTTCAGGCTGAAGAAACTATACTTGCAGCAAACCCAGGTACTCAAACTTTGTATTTGATATTTGTGAGTACAGCTTTATAATAATGTATTTAATTATGGAAGTGGTATGTGAATAATAAAACAGATTGACAAGAAATTAAACGTAATCATCAAAGATTAAGTGGAAATTAAAACTAAATTCATTTAAGTCATAACTGTTTATATATAAGAATATTGATGAGATTAAGTGTAGGAAAACATAAAACAAGGTAACAGAAAAAATCATGAATGTGGAATTTGCATAATGTATATATATTACCTCATACTTGACCTCTTGGGTTTAAAAGAATTTAAAGTTTACTGAAAGAAAGGAATATTCTGGATGTAGAAATACTAGTGACCAAGAGGAAGGTTTTATTAAATACCATGTCAACCCATTTGTTGACTTACATTCAAAATTTTATTCAACTACTATTTTATGAATTTATGCCAATAACTTTGGTATCACATTGTAGATAATTCAAATTTTAGTATTATACATTATACATATCATAAATTAAAAGTAAATATTTAAAACAAAATTCACAAATAGCAATATTTGTGTGTCACGTGGTATGTTGAGTACAGCTTTGGTTCATATTAGATGTTTGTTATGTCCATATACAAAGTCTATAGTTTCTTACAAATTTGTAGAAACTCAAATTACCAATGTTGACAAGCTTTCTCAGCTTTTTTCATATATATGGATACAGAACTCCATCATTTTATACAAGATTTCAGCTGGTAAGTGGGCTCAAAATTTCTATTTTTTTCAGACCCAAATATAGCTTAGTTACTAAGCTTGATAAATTATAGTGGAATTCTATGGTATTGATGTAGCAATTTATGATTTTTGGTTATTCACAAAATATATAAAACCTAAAAAAATTATTTTGTTTCACATCCTGCACATGCAAAATTTGATAAGGCCTAGCAACCTACAGCAAGCAGCAAAAGAGTACAAAGTTCGTAACTAGAAAAGATAATCATGTGGTATACTTCTTTATTTACTGTTCTATATTTTAAGAAAAATAAGCTTAAAAATTTATTTGTAAATAGTAATAATGTATATACATTTATAATCTGTTATAACTGAAATGTGTATTTCTACAAAATACTAGTCCACTAAAACACAGCCAAGACAGGTCACTTTGTAAAGATCAGTTTTATAGGGATACGGTAACATGCATGCACGTGCACCGCATCATTGCCACTTCTGTAATGTTAGCCAGGCATGGCTGAAAAGTCAATATAAAAGAAATAATAAATATATATATATAAATGTATAATGTTATGAAATTTAAGCTATTTAGACTAAACATCTGTGTTTTCCTGTTATAATTTGTAGTCGTTCTAAAATGAAAAAAAAGCATAATTTATGTTTATTTCTTAATTTTTATAGTGGTTATGAGGTTGATCAAATTGACAGACCCTGTATAAAGTTAGGGCAGAGAAAATAACAAATAAAATATAAAGTTGTACTGAAAACAAACATTTGAAATTAACTTAGGAGGTTGTAGAGATTACACAAATAATATTTGAGATTTTTGGGACAAAGAACAGTTTTTTTTAATCATAACATGAAAATCACTTTGCACTTGGATTAGTAATGAAACAGACTCAATATATTTACAAACAAATTTTTAGTAAAATTGCTTCATTAAAAAATCTAATTTATTTCTGTACAAAAGATTTGTAATATTTACTAAAAGTCTACCAAATTTTGTGAAGATATGCATACTGCATTAAAAGCTATACTATAAATACTTAACCTGTACAAGTATGTATACAAACCCGTGTATTTTATATCGAGCCCATTGTGAAAGGGTTAATGGAGTGAGATAGTTGCACAGCAGAGACGTCAAGTCTAGAAGTTCTCTACTGGATGTAGGACTTTTGGCTTCCTTCATTTTAGTGCAGACTTTCTTTGTGTGATAAAAATGACATTATAAAACATTTTTCTTTGTCTAATGAGTTTTGTGTAAAATTAGATTACATTTTATAGTCATCATGTTTGATAATTTGTATGTATACAGTGTACCAGAGAATGATCAGGATATCATTTTCAGATGCTTGTATCTTGAGGATTCCTGTTCTTTATGGAGATGAAGAGTTCCTTGGTGAGAGTGCTCTGTCCATCTTGTTAACTAATCTCTTAGATTCTTCTAAACAGCAGGTGGTGTCTGATTATGAGATTCGTTTTCCATCTCACTGTGATGATATTGCTGCTATATTGTATCAGTTGGTAGAAAAAAAGTTTCAGGTAGGCCTTACTGTCAGTTTGCTTATATAAATACTATACCATGTAGAACCAGTTATTGTTGAGTAGCATAGTGTCCACTATACCATGTAGAACCAGTTATTGTTGAGTGGCATGATGTCCACTAGACCATATAGAACCAGTTACTGTGCAGTAGTATGGTGTCCACTATACCATGTAGAACCAGATAAAATTACTTATATAAACTCTATACTAGTGTTCGGCAAACTTTTTTGATTGAGGGTAAATTAATTTTTTTTTGAAAAATTTAGCATTTTATTGGATCAGTGGTTAGCACCATCTGAAAAAGAAAGCCTATCTTTGAAACATTTGTAAAAAGCTTCACTTTTAAAATTAAATTCAAATTGCTGACACAGAAGTATGATTTTCATATGTAATTCAAAACTTAATAGAAAACATTTACTGTCATACTCAGTTCTGTTCTTATGGACTTGTACAGTTATTTATGAAAAAGAAAGCATTTGTGGAAGGGATAACAAAACTTTATCATTCTATGTATATTGTTGGCCATGTATAATGCATGCAAACAATCCAAATAATGTAATGGTTCATTAATCTGAAAGATAAAACTCAGCCGAAAAATTGGGAAAAATCTATTCCTTAGTTCGATTTGATGATTTTATTACAATTTCCTTACTTTATGATTTAGTACATTTTTACACGTTGTTCAGTCTCAGCCATGCGAGTAGTGAGGTGGCGATGCATGTGTCATTCAGTGTGGCACCCTGCAGCCATGATAGCAGTGAATAAGAAATGAAGCAACTTATCTGCCCTATACATCTGTTCTGTTATCACAAAGAAAACACTACCGTCACTTATTTACCTGTAAATATAAATACTTTGCATATACTCACCTCAAAACCTATAAAAACATCAAAATATATCACATACGGCACTTTCTGCAAGGAATCTCTTGGCTAATAACAGCACAGTACACTTGAGCCATTACTGTTAAAAGTTTTATCACAGATAATTCGACCAACTTGAATATTTTTTTCCCTAAAATTGATCTTAAAATTCTCTGTAGCCATGACTCTTTCCCCTCTTCCCTTTAATATCTTTGTTCTTCTCACATAAGCAATGATTGTGCTCTCATGGGTTACATAGGTGAAGCCAACTTTTGGCAAGTCAGCCAAATCATTGTCGTTTGCACTTGTTGACCCGTGGGTCATAGGTTGCCAACCACTGCACTAAACCATGTAGAATCAGATAAGTTTACATATAAACACTATACCATGTAGAATGAGGTAAAATTACTAATATAAACACTATACCATGTAGAACCAGATAGTTACTAATATAAACATTATACCATGTAGAACCAGATAAAGTTGCTAGTATAAACAGTATACCATGTAGAACCAGATAAAGTTGCCAGTATAAATACTATATCATGTAGAATGAGGTAAAGTTGCTAGTATAAACGCTATATCACGTAGAACGAAGTAAAGTTACTTATATAAACTATACTATGTAGAACCAGATAGTTACTAATATAAACACTATGGCATGTAGAACCAGATAAAGGTACTACTGTTACGTATCTGTTGTTTGTTAATTTCCGGAAGAATTTCTTTATGAGGAACTTCAGCGATACAAGTCCTTTCTTGACTAAAGCAGTTTATTATTTCTTGATACAAACTTTTAGTACACAGTAATTCCATTGTCAGTACATTTCTTGTCACTTTAAACTTAACAACTTTAATAATAAATGCTATAAACCACAGCGATTCACAATCTTGATAACTTCACCCAAAACTTATCGTGTGTACTGTTCACTTTATCATACATTGATTCCCACAGGCTTTTTCTGCCAGGCTTATATACTAAAGAAGGGGGCATCTCGGATGCACTCGGGCCTCCCCGATCATTCATGATCATTCGAGAAACTTCATGCATGCTACCAGCGCTAAATGCGCCAGCAGCGTCACATGACTTCCGCTGTCGTAACACTACAATAAACACTATACCATGTTGAACCAGATAAAGTTACTACTACAAACACTATACCATATTGAACTAGTTAAAGCTACTTATATAAACACTACACCATGTAGAACCAGTTAAAGCTACTGGTATAAACACTATACCATGTACAAACAGATAAAGTTACTAATATAATCACTATACCATGTAGAACCAGAAAAAGCTATTAGTATACTATACCATGTAGAACGAGGTAAAGTTACTAGTATAAACACTATACCATGTAGAACGAGGTAAAGTTACTAGTATAAACACTATACCATGTAGAACGAGGTAAAGTTACTAGTATAAACACTATACCATGTAGAATGAGGTGAAGCTACTAATATAAACACTTCACCAAGTAGGACCAGTTATAAAACTATACCACATACAACTGTCTACTGTGGAGTGGCATGGTGTCTACTGTATTTTATTAAAATACTGTTAATCTTTATATAAAAACTAAACCACATAGAACTGTTTGCTGTGGAGTAGCATGATGTCCACTCTTTGTTACTAAAGAATTGTTAATCTAGATATAAAAACTATACCACAAAGAACTGTTTACTGTGGAGTAGTATGGTGCCCACTCTTTGTTACTAAAGAATTGTTAATCTAGATATGAAAACTATACGACCTAGAACTGTTTACTGTATAGTAGCATGGTGTCCACTCTTTGTTATTAAAGTACTGTTAATCTAGATATAAAAACTATACCCTATATATTGTTCTAATGAGTCAGTGATTTCAATATCTTGCATTCCTGGCTCGTGAAACATCAAAGAGTTTCATTTTACAAACAGAAACCAGAAAAAAGTGATTCAGTGGTCTTTCTAAGGTATGGGTGGCAACAAAATGAATTTAATTAGTTCCAAACAATGACATACATTTTAATTCTAGCATATTTAAAATGTCAGTACGTGTATTTTATGCTTAAAAATTTTTAAGGTGCGATCACCTTTTCCAAGCTGGCAAAGCATGATGTTAATTAACTACTTTTCTTGAGACTTTTGTATTAGGCCTATTATATTTTTTAACACTACATTCTTTAACTAGTCCCTTAGAGATTTCCCTAAGTCACAATAAGGTATAATAATAATATTTCCACCATATCAATTGACGATGATGTGTTTCACTCAATCCACAGCTCCTCAGGCTGCCTGAGACTACGAATGTAATGGGCAGTGCCCTTAGGGCTTGAAACTTTGATTCTTCTGGGAGATAACTCTCTCCCTGAGGATCACTGATTTTTAGTTCCAGACATGAGTTTTCTAAACCATATTTGTATTCTTTTGACCTTCCAAATATTATTCCTAACTGCCCGTAAGTAGTTCTAACACTTTATGGTCAATCTGTTCAACTTCCTGGGTTAATCCAAAACAAAAACTCTCAAGTAATTGGTTACTGTGATGGTGAGTGCTCCAGTTGCCTTTTTACTTGTATTACTACACTGGTCTGGAGTAGCAGATCTAACATCAAAGAACTGATTTGAGATGCTATCATAAACTTTTTAATAGCTTCTACAGTGCTATTAACTCAGCGTCAGTAACTTATCACTGTCAGACTTGTGACTAGCATTTTTCTATGTCCTCGCTGGAGCTTCATTTTTTATAACTCTCAACTCGTGATTCTCAATACTTACTAACCTGTTAACTAGGCTTTGCCTAGTTCTTGACCTAATTTCATCATACAGGCATCCTTATTTATGCCATTTCTACATGTATGTGTATTACACTCAGAATACTTAAATTTCTATAGCTTCTTTCTTAACCTTTTTGAGATGGGTCACAGGTAAAAGGCCATGTCATCTCATTTGTTGACTCGCATTCAAAATATTATTGAACTACTATTTCATGAATTTATGTCAATAAGTTTGGTATCAAACTGTAGATTATAATTCAAAACACAGATAAACATAGATTTTTTTGTGTCACGTGGTATGTTGAATGCAGCACTGGTTCACATTAGATGTTTATGAAGTCAAAAT